ACTCAATACTAGTCACTATATACACTATCTCGCCACACACACACACCAGACGTCCGCTTTTAAGCTGCTCTACCAATTCACCTAACGACCTAGTCATTGGCAGTGGGAGTGGAACTCAGTCCCTCGGTGTGCAGTGCCTGTATTTGTAGAACGAGAGCTGATCAAATGCAGCAGAATGAACAGTAATGAGGTTGATGAGGAGGGGCCAGTTGTGCTCCAGGAGTAGAAATGAGAATTGTGACCATGTATATCAGAGAATGCTGAAAGCTCACGGAAGAAAATATAAAAATGAAGTAATTTAGCTCATAATGTCAAACACCTTTTTTTGGTCTATGGCTGTCTCTACCAGAATCCCGAACATTTAAGAGATACCATGAAAATTCTAGAATTTCTGCTTATTTTCTTATTTGTATCAAATAAACTTTGAATTTAAAATATTTATCAAACATGAAGTAAAATTAAATACATCAAACTTATGCATTTTGGTGAGTCGGACCACTTTCCTCCTAAACACTTTGTAAAGGCTGACCTATCGGTTCCATAGCCTTCTGAGCAAGTGTACGCAACTTCACCTATTTTCATATTAACAAACTGTTGCTAACATTTTTGTATGATTAAGATATTGGTACGGAGTAAAAATTTCAGCTATAAGATGTGTCAGACCTGGGAATCTATTGTACAATGTAGCAAAAATGGTTAATATTCTGTACTTTTTCATTTAAATTTGGTCAAAGAGCAGATTTTGTGTTCTCATTACACTTGCACTTATAAACTCACACACTGACTCAGACACATTCATAAAACCGTAACTAGGCGTGGGGATGAATTGTTCATTAATTTGAGTGTATGAATCATTACACTATAAATACATAAAATCACCATATTGCACACCATAATAATATAGAATTTTATTTGTGAGTTAAATATTTTTAAATAAACTATAAATATAAAAAATGTTTAAGACCTTATTTTCTCACATATTAATATCTGGTAGTCAAGTATTTAGCAGAATGGTTGTGTGTTAATCTGTAAAATTCTGTTGTAAATAAGTAGATATCATAGTCATTACACTGCTTTTCCCAGGAGCTGTGAAGTATTAAAGTACTTACCTAAGCATTTTGGTGGTTCTGACCACTCTCCCCTTTCACAGGTTATTTTCTTGGGGCCCTCAAGTACATACAAGGACTGGCACTGATACTCAACTGATGACCCAGGGGAATACTCTTGCATCGGAAATGATGTAATGTCGCCATTGTCGATAGGTGGAGGAGGCCCACATTTTTCTGAAGAGTCTACAAAATATCAGTTGATTTATTCAGAGACAAAATAGAAGTGCAAGTGATAAGGAAAAATACAAATACAACAGTGCGTATGTGTGATTTCTGGTGACAGAAACAATTTCCTGAAAATTAAACCACATACAGTGAGAGTTCCTTTTAAATCTCTTCCTTCCACCTCCCTGAAGACACAGATAAAACACTAAGAAAAATTTACTTTTTTTTTTTAGAGGTTTTTGCTATAGGGCGCATGCGCTCGCCAGACAGAGAGAGAGAGACAAAGAGACATAAAGCAAGAAATCACTTCCCGGGGGGGGGATGGCCACACTGCAATCCCTTCTCCTCCATTCTCCTCTCGGCATCTTGGGCATGCACGCACATGCGCCCGTGATGAATTTTAAGCCACTGGGTCCGGGACTTGAACCGCGGTCGACTACGTGGGAGTCCAGCGACATAGCCATTACGCTAACTGCTGGTTCCCCGAACAGTGATTTTTAAAATCCAGTGGAAGTATAGAGATGAAAAGTGTAACAGAAATTTTAAAAACAAAACAAAACTCTATGGTTGGGCTTCATGATATATTGGAAGTGAGAGCAAATTCATGAACTTAAAGGTAGACGGTACAAACTCCCTAGTCTGACAATAGACTGAAAACCAAAACACTGATCTGAATTTCAGAGATCTTTAGAAGATAAGGAAATATTGGAGGCCCAGAAAGAGAGAAAGAGTATAAGGTTGAAAAAAATGGAAAAAACAATGGCTGTTTTCCCACATTGGTTATAAGAAATATACCTTAATATTCAAGAAGCTGAGTGAACTCCAAAGAGGATAAGCCCAATGAAATGATGCCAGTACACACCATAATAACACTGCTTAGAGATAAAAAAGAAAAACTATCTTGAAAGCAGCTAGACAGATCCTATACCATACCTCCTGGGGACCAGGAATCACATGACATTGGGTTTCTCAGTTTTGAACATGCAGGTCACAAAGAACTGGCACATTTTTTAAGTGAATGATGTAAGAAAAGAGCTGTCAACTATGAATTCTTCATTCAGTGATCTTACTCTTTAGGAAAAAAGGAGTAAATAAGGTCATTCTCAAAGTAAAACCAAGAGCAAACCTACTCAAAGAATCACTGAAGGAATTCTTCAAATAGAAATGGTAAGACAGCAAGACAAAATTGAGATTTCATGATGGAGAAGAAAACAATGTTATTAAAGAAAAGAATGGTATATCAAACCAACTATTTTATCTTTCTTTGTTAAGGATGATTTTTGCAATAGGGAACGTGTGCTTGCTGGAAAGACTGAGACAGAGAGAGAGAAAGTGAAAATTCATATTCCTCCCCCTCTCCCCCCGCCCCCTGTTGATGCCCTCACATCAATCACTTCTCCATTCTCCTCTCAGAATTCGGAGCATACATACACATACACCCAGCATGAGTACCAATCCATCAAGTCCAGGACTTGAACTGCTGTTGACTATGTGGGAGTTCGGCCACATAACCATTATGCCATCTCCTGGTCCTATCAACTGTCTTTTCTTAATTAGTTCAATTATGTTTGCTGTTTCAATCAAAATTATATAATTTGATATGGTGCTCAAAGATGTACTGAAGATAATGGAGGCATTTATATTTAAAATGTGGGGAGGATAAACAGAACTATATATATATATATAT